GTAACTGTTGGTGGCAGAACCAGGCCCCAAGTCAGCTTTTCTCCTAACCCACTGCTTATTCAATTGTGCCAGTGTTGCTTCCAGTGATTGTTAAGAGTGGTGCCAAGCCACCATCATCAATTCTACAACAGAGTTCAATACAATCTTCCCCTTACTCTCAAAGCTAACAGAGCAGAGCATACCAATATCCTCCTAAGTACCAGAGAAAGTTAAGAAAATGAGTTGGCCCCCAGCCTGCACCAGGCCTATGAATAAGAATGGCATTAGGGCAAAGCCCAGTTAAATCAGTGCAAGCTAACTAGGCCTCCCTCTTCTGTGGAAACCATTTTAATCAAATCTCTCAAGTCTCTCTTAGGTCCTGTATTCAGGCAATGGAAACTTGAATACTCGTGGGATGAGAAAGAGCCCACTTGTTTCTGCAGTGTCTGATAGAATTAATTTCTTCTTGTTAAAACTGGGCAAATACAACTCTTTGTGGAAGCCACATAGTGGGGTAGAAAAAAAATCAACTTCCACAACTCAAACTTTCCAGGCCCAGAGGTGGATCTGTGCCATATTGTGCAAACGGACATATCCAGTCCTGAGATGCTGAAGCCATTGGACGTTCAAGTCATTTAAGTTATTGCCCTTGATCTGGTTCTCTGCACATCAAGCAATCTTTTGATCCCTTAGTTTCTCAGTGGCCCTTTTTTGCAAAGTCATCTAGGCTAGTAATTTGTAGAAATCTCCCATCCTTGGGTCTTAGATCTGGTTTTGAAACAGATTTGCAGCAACAACATGTCCCTTAAATCTTTTCTTCCATGGGTGAAACAGCCTCAGTTCCTTCAGCCCATCACCTGGAGACCCCCTTCACCCTGTGGAGCACAGGACCGGAAGCAGATGTTGTCAAGGATCTGATCCTCAGTTGACTTTCTCACCCTCTTATACTCTGAGCCTCTGGGGAACCGCAAAAATTGCTCTAGAAAAGACAGTGCAAACCAGACTAATTGGCAGCCCATCAAAAGCTGTTGCTGGGCCAATTTCCCTTAAGATAATAAAAAAAGTAGAGGAAAATGTGGGACTATTTTATACATTACGGTTCTGCTGTGTTAATAAATGTCATGCTAAAATGTTACTTGCTGTGTCATGAATGGGATTTTTTTTTCTCTTTAATTTTTCATATAAACTAGAATAACATTGGTTCTTTTTCTGGTATTTATTTCTTAAGCTTTACAAAAATAGGTCAAGTTATAACATAGCCTACCATGAAGATTAAAGGTCTTTGACATCCTGTATGAATTAGTTGGAGGAAAAAAAAAACCCATAAATTTCAGGACAATTATTGAGTCTGAGAATTTAGGACTGAAAGCTACACTAGAAACTAGTTTGAAGTGCTGTTAATGGTTACTTTGATGTGACATTACCATTTTCTTCATATGACCCAATTCAGTTTTTAAATGATGGAAGAAGATTAAGTGAAATTTTAAAAAACGACTCTGTCATCGATATGAATTTTACAGGGAGTGGTACAGCAGCTGAGTTCTACCTCAGCAGCCTTGGGTAAGTCACTTATCTCTCTGCCTCAGTTTCTTCAGCTACCAAACAAGAGTGTCACCCTCAGTAAACTGAGGTTCCTTCAAGCTCTTAGACTATGAGTTGTGGTTCTGGACCTTTTTCCCCGGGGAGACACATGCACGTGGCATCATGTTCTACTCTCAGGGGATATATCCTCTGTGTGTGTGGTGGTGTTGTTTTAAGGCAGCAATATAGATAAAATAGGATGCAGGTTATGCATAACTCCTAATCATAATCCCACCCTTCTCCCCGGGGATCACTGCTTGTATGTCAAGAACCACAGCTCTGGAGAACTTCACAATTGTGGGCTGCGTGCCACCTGGAAGATTTATGTTAAGTGCAAACTGCATCATTTTTTTAAAAACATTAATTTACTTCTATTCATAAGCTGAGGGTCTAATTATGTATTCTGATGATTACATTCTTTCTCCTGAATCTGCATACTTAGCTCTACCAAAATGACAAAACATCGCCCTGCAAAACTCCCCATCCAAAGAAGTCTCCAGAAGGCAGAGCCTCCCTGCTTTCTGGACATCCTGATTACTCTGAAATGCTGGAGCCCCTGTTTGTCCTGTGGCTGCCTTGGTTGGAGGCCAGGAAAGGTCTGCAGTGACAGGGTTCACCCAGGGGCTGATCGTACAGTGGCTTCTTGGAATTGAAAAGGAAAGCTGTTTGGTTTCCTGAAAGAAAGAGAAATGACTACTCAAATAACGAAGTCTAATTTATCACCTCAACACCCCTCTTAAGGGCAGTGAGATCCATGTAGATGCCAAGCCAGACAACCACGTGTGTGTCTGTCTAAAGGACCAATATTCTCTTAAAGCAGTGCTAGTAAAAAGAGCAGCACTCCCTCTGCCTGCCAGGAGCAAGGCTATTACATCAATTAGCAGCACTTCACCCACCCAGATGCTTCCACCTTCTTCTGAAAAGCAGCCTTCTCCCAGACAGGTCACACTGAAGTGGCCCCTGCTAGCATCCATATAAACCTCATGTGTGGTCCAGCTGGCCTGTCGATTGCCATGCAGCATGCTTGAGTGTCGGCAGTTGGCAAAGTAACAAAACCAGAGTCAAAAACATGAGAGCTGTGCAGGAGTCAGCACCACCCATCTGGCCACTTGCTCTGGGGTGGGGCTCAGTGGGAAACTGCTAGATAAGCAAGCTTGGACCCAGATCAGGGGCTTCACACAAGAAGAAAGACCTTCAGAAGGGGGAGTTAAGTTGACAAGGTTTTATATCTATCACCTGGGTCTTCCCTGTCCCTTCAGATCTAAATAACCTTTGCTTTAAATTCCACAGGCTGTGGAAATCTGAATTCTATGACTTTTGGGGGGCTTAGGTTTCTGCCTCAGCTCTTGCTTCCATGTCTGGTATCTTAGCTCTGTGACTTGTCAGGTTGCCTATAAAAGAGCATGTCTGAGCATGGCAGATCCTACAAAAAGTTGGTGTTCTTGAGGAGAATCACATTTCCTATCCCGTAATGGTATAGTTAACAGTCCATATGAGACTTTCCGTCTTCTCTTAAGTCTTGCTCCTCAAGGTGTGGTCCGAGGACCAGCAGCACCTGTATAACCTGGGTTCTTGTTAGAAATGCAGAATGCTGAGCCCCACCCCGGGGTTGCTAGATCAGAATCTCGATTTTAGCAAGACCTCAGGAGATTCAGTTCATTTAAGTGTGAGGAGCACAGATCTGAAGTCCTTTTCTCTCGCCTCTCAGGGGGAGGATCCTCTCTGCCCTGGCCCTTGTCTGCACAGTACCCGTCTTTCATCTTCCCTGTCTTCGCCCTCCCTGCTCTCTCTCGTTCTTTCATCTCCTCCCTCCCTGTCAGGAGCTACAAACAAATTCTTTGTGTCATGACAGAGCAGCCCTCTTCTCTGGAGCCTCAGAGCCCGTCACCACCTAGGCCCTGAAGGTCTCACCTTCTGCCAGCCCTCAGTCCTGTCCCCAAGCTTATTAGAGTCTTTGTCTAACAAGGTCTCCCTCAAGAGGCACTCTGATACCAGCTGCTGCGATAAAAGACATCTCTCCCTCTCATTACAAAAGATATCCCAGATTTTATAAAGACGTCTGGTTTCCAAACAGACCCCTAAATCAATTCTGTATTATAAGCCATCATGTAAGTGGTAGGCCTGGGGAAACTGAGTCTCTGAGAGAAGAGTGACTCACTTGAGGTCATTTTGTGGTTATTGGCACAGGCAGGACCAGAAAAATCCCTATACTTCCAGTACAGCGTTCTCTCCACTGCACCCCTGATCATTCTACTTTAAACTGAACCTCTCAGTGGCTCCCCAGTTCTCTTCCTGAGCAGTAGCCGTGAATCACTGGGGCAGCAAATGTGGATTGGGTGCTGCAGTGTAAAGCATGCACCGTTCAAAGATCAGAGGCTATTTTTCCATACTATTTGCCTTTGCCCAGACTGCTCCCTCAGACTGAAATCCTCATTCCCACCTATCTGCCTGGCACACTCCTTCACATCTTTGAGAATCAACAGCTGGGACCTTCTGGATTCCTACAGACAAAATCACTACTTCCTCTGTGCAAGCACACTATTATAACATTTCTTCCATTATATGTTAGGTCTTTGTTTTCCTAAGCTGGCCCCCTCTGGGCAGAAGCTTCCTCAAGGGAGAGCTAACCTCTGTGGTCCTCAGTGCCCAGCACAGGAGAGGCTCCGAAAATGTCCTCCTTTCTTCCTCCTTTCTTTCCTTTGGAAATCCCTACAAATTAATGGCATCAGTCAAACAAATCCTGTCCTTAACTCAACCCTTTGTCCTCAAGCCTCTCACCCCCTTCTGGACCTGCCTCACACTGCCACTCATTTCTAGACCTGGCCTCTCCTCGCCAGCCCTTCTCTTCTGTTGTACCCAAAAGTTCCAGCTTAGCCACCAGCTACTTGCGTGTGACTTTTTGAAACCCATCCTACCTTCTGGACCACATCTGTACAATAAGTGGTTTTGACCCCTTAGCTGGAGCTCCCGATGGTAGTATTACAAGTCACAGGTGTATTAAAATCAGTTGCGAGGTACTTTATGAGTAATTTTTTCATATAATAATTAAGGTTTGCCATTGGTCTTTTTTAATAAATAGAGAAAATTAAAGGTTATCCCTGTGACTGTCATGCTCAGTTGCATTCTGATGGACTTTCTGAAATAGAAGAAGAGGCTTGGGGCACAGACACCTTGGGATTGTGTTATGTCTCACAAAAAAGTTCCCTGGTTATCTGTCATGTGTGTCTCAACACTGCAAAGGTCGAGCTATAAGATTCTTTTCAGCTCCATCATCTTTTGAGCTATGAGGCCTGGAGAAAAGACTGCTTCCAGAAAATGTGAATTTCCAAATCCTTCCGGTGATGTGTTACCTCCTCTTAAAATTTAAGTCTCACTCAGGAACACTTGAGTGAGTGACCCTCTTTTAATTTTCTCCTCTTCCTCCTTGGCTTTGCTTCCAGGAAGCGGGAGGAGGAAAACAAGCGAAGAGAGGCAGAACAGCAGAAGGGAAGGCTGAGCCCAGATTCCTGCAGACCCCAAGCCCCTCCCTGTCCGCCCAACACCCAGGCTGAACCCCGCGAGCAGAGCGGGGCCCCCAGCAAACAGCCTCCCACCAGCGACGTGGCCCAGGGCCCTGAGCAGAGAGCCTGCAGAGAGTCTCCAGGCAGAGGGTCTCCAAGCAGAGCCCACCGAAAGGAGCAGCATCTTTCCCCAGACGTGCAGGGAACAGACCCCAGAAAGCCAAATGGTAGGTGAATTGCCTTTGTTATCTGATGCCAACCTATGGACTGTGGGCTCTTTTGACTGGTGTATTCAGACCATTTACATTTAAGGCAATTATGTCAGCACCTAAGCCTGCCATTTTATTATTTATTTTCTATGTATTTCTCTTTCCTGTTCTCATTCCTGTTTCTCTTTTCCTCCCTTCCTGTGGTTACTTGAACATCTTTTAGCATTCCATCTTGATGGATTTATAGTGTTTTTGAGAATATCTCTTTCTATAGTTTTCGTGGTGGTTGCTCTGAGTATAACAATGGTAGTCTACTAGTATCAACATTTTGCTGCTTTGAGTGAAATGTGGAAACTTTGCTTCCATTTAGGTACCTATACTTTCCCCACTTTTAACTATCATTGCTTGCTTATCAGATAGTGTTATAATTTTTGTTTCAATCATCAAATATAATTTATAAAACTCAAGAGGAAAAGGATAGTCTATTTTGCGTACCCTTATTTCTGTTTTTCTGTTGTTTCATCTTCCTGGTCCTCTGGATTCCTTCTTTTATCATTTCCTTTCTGTTTGAAGAACTGTCTTTAGCCAATGTTTAAGGGTAGCTCTGCTAGCAACAACTTCTTTGTTTTCCTTTGTCTAAGAATGTTTTTATTTCATTCCTGAAGAATTGTTAAATCAGATCTAGAATTCACGGTTGGCAGTTCTTTTCTTTTAGCCCTTGAAAAAGACTGTGCCACTTCCTTCTGCCCTCCCTGGTGTCAGATGAGAAATCCACTGTCATTCAAATTGGTGTTCCTTGGTAATGTTCCTAGGTAACATGTCATTTCTCTCTGGCTGCTTTCAAGATTTTTTCTTTACCTTTAGTGTTTTAGTAGTTTAATATGATGTGTCTGGGCGTGGATTTTTGGAGTTTATCTTGTTTGGATATTGCTTAGTGTGTTGAAGATGCCCAAGATCACCCCTATGTTCAGTAACTGGCTGGGAGTTCTCACAAGACTCAGCATATAGTTGTACTCATAGCTATGATTTATTATAACAAAAGGAGACCAAGCAAAATCAGCAAAGGGAAAAGGCACGTGGAGCGAAGTCTGGAGGAAACCAGATGTGAGCTTCTAAGAGCCTCTTCTAGTGGAGTCACACAGGATGTGCTTAATTCCTCCAGCAATGAATTGTAACAACCAGCTAGACAACATTTTGTGTACCAGGAAGCAACCTAGACCTAGGACTCCAGGATTTTTATTAGGGTCAATCACGTAGGTACCCTCTGCCTAGCATGGACCAAAATTCCAGACTCCCACAAGCAAAGCAGGTATTCAGCATAAGCTGTATTATTTGCACAAAGCAATTTGGGTACATTGAGCCATTCTTATCGGTTAGGGAATGGTAAGAACCCTCCAGAAATTCCAACACAGTGCAAAAGGCAAATAATGTCTTAGTGTTATTATGAAAATAGTTTTGACCTTGTGGACCCCAGAAAGGGTCTCTAGAATCTGATGGTCACCTAATTCAGGGCTTAGACAATTCAATCTATCTCTGAACCTCAATTTCCTTAGCTATAAATTACACTCTCTACCCTGTAAGGCAGTTATGAATAGAAATAAAATAATTAATATAGAATACTTGTTATAGCCCATGACCCATAGTAGGTCTTCAATAACTACTATTTTTAAACCACACTGCTGATCTTGTTAAGAACAACTACACAAAAGTATACATGAGTGACCACAAACATTTCCAGACTATAATTCCATAACCCACTTTACAGTGACAGTGCATCAGCAGAGTATACCTTAAGGATGGTGTGATGCTTTGTTATGTATTCATTTATTCATTCAACCAGCATTAACTAGACTCCCATGATATGACAGCCATGTTGAATTTCCTCAAGTTCTTTCTTAGCTTGGGGCCTTTGCATATAACATTCCCTCTATCCATATGGATAAAAAGTGCCAGTCATTGTGCCACCAAATAACACGGTTCACCTTTCTCCAGACTCCAGAAGCAATCTCTTCTCTGCTCTTCCAGCCTGCACTAACAGTCTCTTCATTGCCTTTCTAGCTTGTGTTCACCAGCCAGTCCCAAAGTCAATTCCATGGGGTTTAGGTTTTTGTTAGGCCAGCACCTCTCTTTTTTAGGTATCAGTTTCTGCGTTGGTTAGCTCTTGTGGCATAAAAAACCACCCCCAAAACTATGTGGCTTAAAACAACAACAATCTGTGATTTCTCACAATTCTGTGGGTTGGCTGGGCAGTTCCTCTGCTGGATCACCTGGCCTTACTCATGTGGCTGCTAGAAGGTTGGCTGGGCTGGAAAGTCCAAGACGGCTCCCTTCACATGTCTGGCAATTGGTGCTGGCTGTTGGCTAAGGTGTCTCAGTTCTCTTCTACGTGACCTTTCATCCTCCAGTAGGTTAGACCATCTTCCTTGCGTATCGTTCTCAGGGCAGCACTCTGAGGTAGAGAAGCCAGAAGCTACAAACCCTTTTGAGCCTAGGCTCCAGAATTGTCACATCACTTCTACCACATTCTGTTGATCAGAGCAAGTCACAAGGCCAGCCCAGATTCAAGGGCATGGAGGCATAGATTCTACCTCTGGATGGAAGATGTTGCAAAATCACATTTCAAAGGTGAGTGCATACTTGGATGAAAAGAATCTGGCCATTAAACAATCTGTCATAAGGAGCAATATGTCTCTTACTTCTGTATCCCTAGCACCTAGCAGGGTATCTGGCACATAAGAGATATAATAAATATTTGTTGAATGTATAGCTGTGTGGTACTAGCTAGGTGCTTGAGATTCAGAGATGAAAGACAGATTGTTAACCATGACATGAAAGAGTATTCTTGGATATACTCATGTTTTCTGTAACAGAGGCCCTTTTTTATGGCAAAACTTTGCTTCTTCTCAGTTCACTAAATCACTTATGCACACATTTCATTCAGATATGTTTTTGAGCCCACACTATGTGCCAGCCATACTGAATTGTAATTAATGCTAAGGACCATACCATCAGCATCTTTCTTCTAGCAGTGAGCACAATATTGGTTACATAGGTAAATACTTCTTGACGTGACTTCTCTTAGAAGAAGTTTGATTGGCTTGGGGTTTACTCTGTACCCCAGGAATTATACTTAATCCGTGCGACTTCAAATGGACAATGTCTTTTCCCCTAATCCAGTGCTCTTCAGAGCAGAGAGAAGGGGGAGCACAGTTATTTCAGACTTCTTGCAACTACACAGGGTAATTGTGGCTTGTGTTTGCCTTATTATAAGACACTTGAGACAGTTATGCCTCAGGACCAATCAGATCTACTGTAGACCTGATCACATTCAGAGAGAGTCACCTCACATCCTGAAAAATCCATGAAGTTTCAGTTTTTAATAACCAATCCTTTTGTCTTTTAATTACATTGATACTAGTTAGGCTTCCTCTCCTCACTTTTGGTTGAAAGGTGATCTAGTACATGGTTTTATAATGATTCTCAAGCCCCGTAGGGTTCATGAAATGAATTTAGTAGATTGGACCAGGATAATGTTCATGAAATAGACTACAATAGAAAATATCAAAGTATATCGCACATTATGAAGGTATAAGTTGTTTCAGTTGTATGTTTATGTACATAGATATGTGTGTTTGTGTGTATGTGTGTGTACACGTACGTGTGTATGAGACCACAAATGTAAGATTTATTCATTGGTATGAGTTATTGTCAAAAAAATTTGAAAGTTACTGTTCCAGAACAATTCTGAAGCAGGGGAGCTCCTCATTCATTTGAGATGAGGAATGAGGGAAGTAGTGCCCTGAATAAGGGACCTTTGGGAAGAGCCAGATTCAAATATGCAAACGGGGCCCCAGGAAAGCCTGGCATCCAGACTTTGGGGAGAGTTGAAGGAAGGGAGGCCAATGAGCCTGATTCATATGTAAGGAGAGGGAGCTCTAGTTCATGGGCAGCTTTTGCCCTCATTGACCTGCCTAAGAGGCCAGAGTACAAAGGAAAATAGGGAGATGTTTCCAGGAATCAAGACCAGCCATTGACTAGAACTTCTCTAGCATAGCATTCCTGGGAAACCCCAGCATAACTGGGCAAAAGACACCCCAAGCCACTTTATGTTTGGCCACATAAAGAAGGGTCATGGCTGCTTCAACTAATCAGTGCTCAGGCAGTGTAGACTTTTGGGCCGGCGGGGGGTAGGGGTGGGGACGACATCCCAGCAGGAACACGGAGATGGGAAATATTGACCCGTTCTTTTTCTCCTTTATCCTTTCTCATAGGAGTAGAGAATGTAGAGAATGTTAGAGCTGGAGGATCATTAGAGAGCATCTATTACAGCCTCAACGCAAGTCAGGAAACTGAGGCCCTGAAAGAGGGTTTTGCCCAGGGTCTCTCAGCAGTGATTTCTTTCTTCTCTCTCATAGTAATTCTTTTCTTCTTGTGGTTTATGATGAGTGCAGAGCATGATGTCTAAGTGCATAAGCTTTAGAATCAAATAACCTGGGTTCACAGTGGGACCGTACCACTTACTGGCTGTGTAATCTTGAGCAAGTCACTTACCCTCTCCAAGCCTCCATTTCTTTATTTGTAAAAAAGAGACAATAATGCCTGTCTTAGAAAATTGTGAACATTAATGAGATAACCCATGTAAAGATTTAAACGTAGTGCCTCAAGCACTCTATAAATATGAGCTGTTATTATAATTAACCTCATTATTATTTCAAAAGAGGGGGAGGAAGGAAACATAGTGTTTAGAAAGATCCCTGTGGCTGAGTAGAGGATGGATTTGGAGGACCAGAGAGGGCCTATACTAGACATGGTAGCAGCAGAGTGATGAGTAGGGGATGGACTGGGGGGGTAGAATTGAGATGACTTGGTAGCAGATTGCTTGTGGGAGGTGGTGAGATAAAGTTGTCTTTGAGTCGGTGTGGTTTTCAGGAGAGTCTGGTGGAGGAGAAACTCACTGTTTTAAGGGCCGTCCTGGTGTTTTCTTATTCTCAGCATATGGGCTGCCAGAGCGAGTGGGG